GGCACCGAATAGAAGGGCTCAAAAGTATTACTGCTGGATAATAACTTTTAACTTCCTTCACAATTATATATTATAAATTATAATTATACTACACCAACTCGTCTTACTTACATAGGTCTTACATACTTCTTTACTTAGGCATGTTTATTATTTACAGATTGCATATTTCAAATAAATATAAAAAAAGTGTATCCCATATAAAAATAAGGTTACGCAAGTAGTATAATACCACGAGAAAAAAAATAACTTTATATTTTATAGGTAGGTAACAAAAATAATAAATAAATTATAATTTTTGATTTGTTTCAGATTTTTTTGTGATTTTCCAAACAGACAGCTTAAAGGACATTTTCTTCTTCAGATTAATTGCTTGCAGTCTGTAGAAGCTAGCTCTAAATGATTTTGATTGTTGCTCAGAAAGCCTTTCATATAATGTACGATGGCTTTCTAGCAATAATCATGACCACAAAAGAGCATATACCTACTCCAACGTTACCTATCTGTTGTAATCCACCTACGACTGTATACAGAATTACAGACCATATACGTATAAACTAATGGACAACGCTTTTCACTCCACCCTACCTTCAAGGCTTGGTGACCAAGCAGACGAGAGAGAAACAAGACAATGTACCTAGTATTCTGTATTAGTAAATTATGGATGAATTATTTTATCCTACATAACTATTTAACTTTTTTTTTTATTTCCGTTATCAAGCATTGTCTATAGGTATAAGTCACAGATGTAATATAAAACAACAAAATAGCCGACTGTCAGTTGCCGACAGTCAGCTGTCTATATTAATTGTTAGTAGATTATACAATTTTGATGCGCAGCTCTGATGTACAGCCGCCAGTCACTCTGGCCAGTGACGTATCTAGGATTTTTTCAAGGGGGGGAGGAGATTCTTTAATATCTATGTAGATAATCAGCGGCCTCGAATGTATATGTATAAGAAGCAAGTGCGGGGGGTCGCAATTGGCGTTGAGAGTTTATAACGACCTCTGTATAAAACAACATAAGATAAAAATAAGATGAAAATGTGACTTCAAATAAAACCACCATTAACGTTGAAAACATTCAATACCCAGTATTGTTGATAACAGAGGAACCTTTTGCGGGCGCCCCCCGGTCACCCGCCCACTTTGTCATTTCCAGCCATTATATCTTAGTCCATGATTACCTATGTCTTAGCACAGATTTCTATATAGTATTAGATAGCTGAGAACTCTCACTATCAGCAGAAGCCTGGTTGTCTCGTTACCCGTTGACATTGCATGGTATTTTGTATGGTATATATTAATTATGTTGTATCATAGACCTGATAATAGATGAACTTCTCTTAGAGAGAGAAAAAATATATCAAACATGAGAGGGAAGATTTAGGTAAAATGTTATGGATAATAAAGTTAATTGTCAATTTCATATATGAAAACCATAGCCTGATAATGATTATTATTTATTTATTATCTATTATCAGGTCTATGGTATCCATCACAGTGACCGTGGTATCCATTATCCAATACTTTTTTTGATATAAAAATCCCGGTTCCATGGGGAATAAAACAATATAACTCTTTCCTCCATGATATTTTACCTAACAGTATTCATGATGATGGCTGTTGAGTTCGATAGGCGAGGGGGTCAGAAAACACAGTCCATTTATTATCAGGTCTATACCTATGTTGTATTGCATTTTATTATTTTTATTTATACCTGTTGTTTAAAAAAAAAAATATATTTTACTTTTATTATTTTATTTTAACATTAAAAGCGATGTTATTCCTAATGCATATTGTATAATTAATGAAATGTTTTGCCAACCAAAAACATGGCAGCAGTGCTTCACGGATAATAATATGAATTATATAGGAGTACCTTATCTAGTGTATTATAGAAGTCTGTGAATCTTAATTCTTAGTCACTTATTTCTATATACTACTAGATAGCGAACTCCCGCCATCAGTTGAAGTCTGGTTGTCTCGTTGGTATCTTATGGTATTTAATATGGTAAATAAGATTAATTATGATGTATATTGTATTGTATACTACTATTTCTATAACTGTTGTTTAAAAAATTATATATATATATTTTAAGTAAATCATTTTACATTTACCTATTATGTATTTTTCCATTTTAAATATTGTTATTCCTAATACATTTTGTAAACTGAATTAACTGAATGTTTTTCCAACCGAAAAAATGGTGACTTCCGACAACTGAGCCAAACAATATATATTTTATATACTTTTTGTTCACACTAGTGGCACTTCATCTCAAAATACCGTGTCTCCTATAAGAGCCAATGTAAATTGTTTTTATTACTAGTTCTGATGAGTATTGCATATTATATTATTATTGTTAATAATACACATTGTATTCAGGATATTTGTAAAATATTCATACTAATATAGCTACTATACAATACTATACTCTGTTCAGCGAGAGAGCACGCTCGGTGCGCGGCGTGTTCTCCCGCTGAACAGAGTATAGTGTTGGGACTGTAACCGGACCGAAAATAACTGGTTACAGAATCGGGAACCTTGTGTTAATAATGAAACCAATTAACCCGAAACCATTTTTTCTTATGTTTAAAAAATCTAACTAAAATCCGAAACCAATTATTAAAAAATTATCATCTGTTTATTTTATAAGTAAATTTATCAAAGACATTATGGTATTTATATCATACATTAAAAGTCCATATTATAAAATCCCTAGTATATACGAGATATTCTTCAACAAATTAAGAAGTGAAGTAGGTACCTATTATAACTTATAATATAATAATAATTGATAATAGTCTGTAGACTATAATAGTCAAAGGTGGGCATTAACTTGTTAAAAAGTTAAAGTTAAGTTAAAAAGTTAATTTTTTTTTAACTTTTTAACTTAACTAGTTAATTATTTTTGTTTTTAACTTATTAACTTATTCAGTTAAAATGTTATTGTAGTACTTAACTTTTTATAGTTAATTATCATTGTCATGCAGTTAAGTTAATTTAATTTTTGAGTCATGCGTAATCAACTAGGCAATACCGATTGGTCGACTTTTTTACGATTTTAGTAATTTATTTTCGAATTATGTATTATAATAATTTAATTTTTTACACAGTATTAAATATCTTGGTAAATGTTTTTGTATAACAAAATATTATGGTAGTATATGACTTAAAAATATTGTACCTTCAAAAAAATTAACTTTTTTTTAACTGAGATAAGTTAATTTTATTTTCTCTCTTAACTTTAAACTTATCTAGTTAATTTTTTTTTCCTTGTTAACTTTTAACTTAACTGAAGGCAATTTAAATGAATTAACTTAACTTTCCACAGTTAATTATTTTCATTAACTTGCCCACCATTGATAATAGTTGGGTATAGTTGGGTAACACTGATACTGATTACCGAATAAAACTATATAGCCCAAGACCGAGGCGATCAACGGATGACAGCCAGCTGAGACTGGAGACAACGGACACTGCGTAGGTCGAGAGTCGGGGGGACAGGTGTTGCATAACATTGCCGTGACTATAATTTATTGTACTACTGCGGGTACCACTTACGTAATCGTAATAATAATGTCATAATAAAAACGCTGTGCCTTGAAGAGGTACCTATGGGCTAGGGAGTAATAATACATTTGGTAGTACGTTCGTCGATAATATTATTAACAGGACGCTAAAAATACATTCGTTGTCTCCGTCTTACACACTCACGAGTCACGACATAGCAAATTGTCGTTCACTAATTTCAATAGTGGGCTGTTAATTTTGATACTAGGGTGAATATTATAAAACTTTTACGTCAGAACATTATCTGTGTTTAATTTTTCAAAATTGAAGCCCTGAGGGCAACAACAAGACATCTCCATATTTTGGTCAAATTCAGTTTTTGATTGCAGATTATTAAGTTAATAAGTAAAAAACACTGCGTCGTTTGGTGCAACAACCAGACAAATCCGACAATTAAATACAGAGATATCATATAAATGGAAATGTCTGGTTTTATTTTGGTGCAACAACAAGACATCTACTAATTTTTCCTATTATAATGGAGTTGTCTGGTTTTGATTTTAGTCAACAAGACATCTCATAAGTATTTAATTATGGTGCAACAACAAGATATGTCCAAACAAGTTTTTATTATTTCCTTCATTTATTATTAAAATTTAAGCAGTATCTATTAGTGCATATATTGTATGTACCCTAAGGCCCGTTTCACATGGACGCGTATCATACGCGACGTATCGTACGCGCGCGTTTTAATTTACATTGGTCAAATTCATACGCGCCACTCCGACGATGGCGCGTTTCCCTCGCCGGTTTGGCGCGTATGAACTTAATCAATGTAAAATGGAAAACGCGCGCGTACGATACGTCGCGTATGATACGCGTTCATGTGAAACGGGCCTAAAACTAAATTCTAAAATTTTTCAAAAAATTTTTAGATTTTTTTATTTGGAATTTGCAATGTTTTTTTTTGAACAATTTCAAAAAAAGGATATTTCTGGTTGTTGCCCTCAGGTCTTCAATTTTCATTTTCAAGCAAGATATTATCTTAGAAATTGAAGTGCTGCAGCGAAGGGGGCTAGTATTTACATAATACACGATTTATTAGAAGGCGTTTTTAATTATGATTTAGCATTTATATTAAATAACTTAGGGCCGGTTGCACAAAATTATATTGGTTCAATAAATAGTTATTGGTCTAATAAATTGAGTTATTGAATCGATAAAAATTAATATACGTTGCACAAAGTTATTGAACCAATAAGTTATTGACCATTAGCCACTATTGATCCATAAATGTATAGGCCCGATTTTGGTCCAATAAGTTTTATTGGTTCAATAAAATAAAATTAATGAAACCTTATCAACATAATAATGAGATATCAAATGAGATATTTGTTTTTTATATTTTTGAATAAGATGCCAATTTGCATATAATATATTGACAAATTAATCAGGAAAGAAGTACCTTCATAAGTTAAATCACATTATGGATAGAAATGAAATTACCTTTTCATCATCAGATTCAAATGATGAATTTGCGATGATTGTTATTGGAATACTACTTAAAGAGCGTGTGTATCGAAATAGATATGACCCTTTAGTAGAGTATGATGATGTTGATTTTGTTCGTCGATTCAGGTAAGTGATAGAATGATGCTAGAAAAATCTCAGAACAATGAAAACTATGAACTATTCGTCTATTTATGAAAATCCATCTTGTTTTAAATTTATGTTCTGTATCTTGGAATGTGGCTTAAGTTCCATTTAACTTTAACTATTCTTCAATATGCATATAATATATTTATTACTTTATGATACAGGCTCTCAAAAGATTCATTTTCTGAGGTTTTATTTTTGATTCGGGGCCAGATTTTACATAAAACCTCACGCAGTTATGCTTTACCTCCACATTTACAATTATTAATCACACTCAGTTTTTATGCAACAGGCGCTTTTCAAGTCAGATGAAAACAATTTATTTTTATTTTATATTTATTTACTTTATAGGCAGTAATTGGGGATTATTTTCATGTCCATAAATCGACTGTATGTAGAACTTTAAAGTGTGTTTTAAGAGCTATATCTAGTACCTATGCGTCCAAATTATATTAAAATGCTAAATACTACACAAGAATTATTACTGCATTAACAATGTTTTATAACATAAGGCAATTTCCCAGGGCACTTGGTGCAGTAGATGGAACGCTTTCCAGCTTTATCATTAGGTATACGCACAACTCCACAAACTGCATTGATTATTATTACTGCAACAGCCATCCTCCATAATATGTTAAGAAAAAGAAATGATATACCTCCTGAAAATGAAGACGACCATTCTTAGATTACGGAAATACAAGGCGGTGAATTACCATTTGTGCAATTCAGAGAAAGTGGAAATGCAGTTCGCTTACATTTTATAAATTCTTATTTTTCAGACAATTAAATTTATTAAAATAAAATAACAGTAAATACTAAATAGCCTTTTGCTACTAATTAAAATTGAATACATTGGTAATTATTATATCAACTTAAATTAAAATATAAATAACAATAAACAGTCTTTTGTTACAAATGAATGCATTGGTAATTAATATATCAACCATAATTTAAAATATAAATAACAGTAAAAAGTCTTTTGTTCCTAATTAATACATTGGTAATTAATATATCAACCCTAATTTAAAATATAAATAACAGTAAACAGTCTTTTGTTACTAATCAATACATATAACTTAAAATTAATTTAAATTAGGTGTTTTAAATTATAGGTTTCTCTGAGTTTTAGTTTTAAATAAAAGTAATCAACAATATGTTACAAATGGAATTAACATTTATCAGTATTTTGTTTCAATGACTCGTAAATGTATTGTTCTGTCTCAAATTTTTGTTTTGCAATGTTTAACTCAAACATTGCAGTTTCTTTATCAATAAGTTCAGTTTCCAACTTTGTTTTTAAAATGTATTTTTCGTACTTGGTTAATAAATCAGTACGGTTCATACGTTTACTTGATACATCTAAAAGTTATTTATATACACATTTGCAAGTATATGCTGGACCTGATGTGGAATCCTCACATAGATCATTTTTATACTTTTTAGTAGTACCTGTTACAAAAAAATAAATAGATATTCATTAAATTATCAAAATCTAATCTAACCACAATAGTTAGGTGTAGGTGAAGTAACCTACATGTTTTAAATTTAGAACAATACTTATTTGTTAAAGTATTTGGTAGGTATTTGAATATTCAGTAAAAAGTTATTAAAGGGGGATGTCGTTTGTTTTTTTTTTAATATATATTTATACAGCTTTTATTATAAATTATGTTAGTTATTTTAATATTTGCATAAATCATCTAACAGCTAAAAAATGCGTTTAACATCCTATCGCTTAATATCTGTAGCTTAAAAAAAACACTATGACGAATTTTGTTTTGTTTTAGAAGGCAGTGGGCTCAACTTAGATGTAATTATCTTATTTTTTATCTCAGATACGTACGTCTCACTTGCGTACATAATTATCGAAGGTCAAACTACGAACGAATTATAGTCGCATTTGCGTACACAGCTTAAAATGTAGTTATTCCCTATGTATGCTTATTTACCACCTAAATATATATTATAAGCTATTTTATCGTCTTATTGAATTAAAGACGTACGAATGTACGATACGTAACATCAGTGTGTGAATAGTATAGCATACGGACAACGGTGTTGCTGCATTTTTTTTTCCTATTTTTATTTTTTATTTTAACTTATAAATAATATTTAAATGGAATTAATCGAAACAACAAAAAAGAAGCCATCTTTAATTGACGGTAGTGGGTTTCAATAGCGACAACATCGCAAAAATAAAGATGGAACCATAAGCTGGTTGTGTGTAAACGAAAAAAAAAAACTGCAGAGGAACGTTAAAGTCACGAGGCGAGAATGTGCTTTCCATCACCGATCACGAGTGCATTCCCGATGTGGCAAAGACTGAAATCGAAAAATCCTTATTTTCAGCTCGCAAGAGGTAAAACATATTAATAAATAATAATAATATACTGAAGGATGTCCACATTAAAGATTAAAAAAATATATATAAAATAATAATAATTAATAAAATATTTTATTATCATTCAAAAAGTTACATAATATGTAACTAAATGTAAATTAAATTGTAAATGTAAATTATATTCATTATACACAATGAAATGTTTAAAATAATTTGATATAATATTTTAAGCTTTATTTAATACGTGTCCCACATTTTTACAGATTTTATGAAGGAGATACGCCAGTTCGTTCTATTTCTAACGACGCTGTACGACTTTTAGTAGACGCTGGATACGAGTTTGTCGCAGAAGTTCCTACATTTAACGAATTTAAAGCTGGGTTTTATCGTGCTCGAAAACAATTTAGATGGTGTGTTCACAATCCATAAACAGTAGAAGAACTTGAGTTACCAGCTGACCTAGTAGCTTTGAGAGACGGGACTTCATTCATTGTTCTGGATGCAACTATCGACAAGACAAGCAGAATTATAATTTTTGCTACTCCATCAGGTAAAAGTGCATTGAAAGAGTACTCCGAATTTTTTATAGATGGAACTTTCAAGACTTGCAATTCACACAATTTTACACGTTTCACATAGATGTAAGCTCTAGTTTTCACGAAATCAATGCTTTCCCCATCGTAAAATATATTTTGGGGATAAATATTGGCCCCAAAATCAATGGGCCCCGGGACCGTGCCAACATTGGACCCCCCTTAATCCGGGCTTGGTGTGTACGCAAATGACAATTGATGTTATTCTGGGTAATTACATTGTACACAAGTGAGAAAATTTGTAACATTATGGTTAACCCGAAACCAGAATAATTTTTTACCTTACAATCTTTATGTGATATATTGTTTTGTATATATTTGTTTGTGGTTAGTTCGACTTTGTAGTTAATTATTTGTTTAATAATAACAATATTTAGACATTTTGATAAACAATTCACAATTTAAAAAAAATATCTAATAAAGATAACTATAAAAACTATGTTTTTTCTGAACTATTAAATAGTATCAATAAAATTAACTAGTATCAATCAATATTAACCCGAATAATAATGGTTATTAACACCCAAACGTTTGTTTAAATTTGTATTCTGATGATTGAACACCAATATACACGTACAGCACCCAAAACCCGGATAAATCATTCGGATGCAAAGCCCTGCTTTGAACTATCAAAATAGTTGTTCTATATATAACCATAAATTAAAATTAATGGAGTTAATCTAACTGTACCTATAGTTTCTTCCGTTTTCAGCCTTGTGACTATGTATTTAAAATGTTTTCAACTGCAATAAGAACAATATATCAGAAACTTTGCATTAAATTGTCAAGCTTTTTAGAGAAAAAACTAAAAAAAATTTAAGATGTCCGTAAACAGCTCAAACAAGTCAAAATATTTTATATAATTATAATTTTATCAAGTACCTATAGAAAATGATAAAATAAACATATGGTGTAAATTTCAAGTATCCACAGTTATTGGTTTTTAAATTACAAAAAATTAAGAAATTTGCTACATGAAAAATAAAGTGAATATCCCATTTGAAATTCAAAAGCTTATAAAAATCTAATTTGACTTTCTGGTAGACATTTTTTTTTTTGATTTAAACTTTAAAGACATTTTTTATGAGTTTCCAACTTAAAATAATTTACTCATTTTCGTGATTTTTACGTATTTTGTCAAAATTCGAACTTTAAATACTTAAAAAAAAATTGTGTGTGAAATATTTTTCAACTGTTGTTGTAACAATACATTAGGAGTCTTATATTTTCAAGCTATCTGACCCAACGAATAACATTTAAATGAAATTTGTCATTTATAGAAAAAAAAAATTAAAAAAGCAGGTAAGTAAATGTCATTCTGCTGTACAGCAGGTTAGAAGTGGGTCATTGTACCTATAATGGATTGTATTAAACTTGAATTCAATGATATAATATAATTGTATAAGAAAAACGATTCTGAGGGGAGACGCGCGGTTTGTCAGTCTGGATATTTTATATAATGTCATGTAAGTTGAATTAATATTATTATTAGATTCTGAGCGGAGCGAGGAAGCTAGTGGTTTTACAATGGTGTTTATTTTTTTAATTTTATTTTTTTATATCCTGTATACAAAATTTCTACGAGAAGGAGTGCTTCAAGTTCAACACATAGTACCTTATCTTTTAGAAAATTGGATCAAAATAGTACTTTAGAGAGGTCATTTTTCGATTTCATCAACAGTTAATTAATGCCACAGGAAAACCCACCTAAAAATTACGATAAACCGCTAAAAATGGGATTTTAAATTTCTAAAGCTTTGTGTATCACCATAGAAACGAATAAAAATTATAATATTATAATATTAATTCAACTTATATGATATAATAAATAATAACAATATAAAATATCCAGACTGACAAACCGTCTACGCTCATAATCGTTTTTCTTATACATTGATATTATATCATTGGATTTGAGTTTAATACAATCCATTATACAATGACCCACTTGTAACCTACTGTACAATAGAGCGACATCCATTTACGAGCTTTTATATTTTTTATTCGTTTCTATGGCAGTGGCGTATTTAGGATTTTGTCATGGGGGGGGGATATGATTTTATCCAGTACTTATCAACTCGAGGGGGGCTCCACCCCCCTCACCCCCTAACTTTAAATACTTAAATATAAAACTAAAATTTTACTAAAATTTTTTTTATTTTTATTTTACAAAACAAAGTCTAGTTTTCTAGATGTTTTGGACAATTGAAGGGCTCTGTGCAATAACCAGACAGCTCCGTTTTATCATTTTTTTCAGGAAGCACATATTTAATGTTTAATATATATTTAAGTGAAGAATAATAAAAAGAAAAATTATTTTATATACTTAAAATAGTGATAAAAACTGTGGTACCCTTAATTAAGTTGATACATGAATATTTTTTACACTTTTAGCCACAAATAAGAAATTTTTCTTGGAGTTGTCTTGTTTATTGCTCGGAGTTATTAAATCTTTTTTTTTATTTTTTTTATAATGTAAAAATCTTACTAAGAATTAGTTTTTTTTTTTAACTGAGTTAATA